TTTGAATTATTATTTGTATGTGATTTTTTTAAATCTAGTAGAATAGATCCAATGTCACAAGATCTAGAGACCCCAGATATCACTTGGCTTTAAAATGTCTTTGATAGTCACATTGGCAGTATTTTTACTCCTAGAATAGAGAGCCTTCTCTTCTTTCTGGTATGGTGATGTCCACTGTGTGTTTGGCTGGTTAAGTTGAATCATGTGACAGGATGATACAGTTCTTTAAAAAATAAGCAGCTAAAAGGCAAAGCAAATTTTATGCTATGTGTATTTTACCACAATTTTAAAAAAAGCAAAGCAAAGTTGGAGTAGGGAAGGAGAGATGGATTACAAAGTGGCATGAGGAAACTTGAGGGTGAAAGATATGTTCGTTATCTTAATTTTGATAACTTCACAGGTGTATAGATATGTTAAAACTTTAAAACTCACTGAATACACTTTTTAAACACAACAATTATTGTACGATGAAGACACTTTTTATATGTCAACTATACCTGAATAAAGCTGTAAAAACACAGCACACGTACACACACCCAGAGGAAAGATTTCTAAGAAGTTCATATAAACATATTTTTAGATGTATTAAGTGTTTTACTATTAAGCATTAAGGGATTTTTAACTTGAAGTTATGGGAAGTAACTGACAGAAATAAGACATTTATTCCCTTGATTTATTATGGCTCCCTTAAGACTGTTTTGTATCATGAATGAAAAGTACAGGTCCCTTTAAAATACCACTTATTTGTAATGTCAGAAATGAAAGAATTCTTTATTATGTAAGGTGAAAACTTATATAGCAGGAAATTCTAGCAAAATCATTCAGTAGGAAAGATCTGTCCATCTTTATAGCTGTCTGATTGGCAGCCTCTGAATCTGGCCAATAACCACATCTATTGTTTTTTATTTCATTGGTCCTAGGACCTTTTTACCTTCAAGTAATTGTGACCTTTTAATCCACTGTTTAGTTCAGCTAGCCTGGCTTAAGTCTGCAAAAACTGAAAAAACTCGGCTGGGCGTGGTGGCTCACACCTGTAATCCTAGCACTTTGGGAGGCTGAGGCAGGAGGATCTCTTGATGCCAGAGTTTGAGACCAGCCTGAACAAGAGCGAGACCCTGTCTCTACAAAAAATAGAAAAATTAGCTGGGTGTGGTGGTGCATGCCTGTAGTCCCAGCTACTCAGAAGGCTGAGGCAGGAGGATCTCTTGAGCCCAGGAGTTTGAGGTTGCAGTGAGCTATGATGATGCCACTGCACTCTAGCCCAGGTGACAGAGCGAGACCCTGCCTCCAAAAACAAAAACAAAAAAACAAAAAACTTAAGAAACTTATGTTGTAGAGATAATATTCTTGATAGAAGGAGGCAGCAGTAATGATAATGAGACAGCTTCTTTTTAAAAATCTTGAATATCTGAGACAGCAAAGTATGGCGGTAAGGGCTTTAGAATTAGGCAAGTCTGGATTTAAATCCTGGCTCTCCCATTTACTAGCTGTGTGATCTGTTGGGTAGGTTGCTTGACCTCGCTGATCTTTGATTTTTTCTTGGGAAATTAGGCTAATAATACCTGCTGCTCAGGTTATAAGGGTTAAATGAAGACAATGTATATAAAGTATGAAGCACAGTGCTTGGCACATAGTAAATATTAGAAAAAGGATAGCCTTTTTTGACTGTTGCTATTATTATCTTATTTCCTTGCAAGATTCAGATAGCTTGGTGTGTGTGTATGTGTGTGTGTGTGTGTGTGTGTGTGTGTGTGTGTGTGTGT